ACCACGCTACATGAAATGCACCCGCAGTTCGCGACACATTCTATTTAACTGTGTTAGAAATTAGAATCGGGTCACATGAAATGCATACCTGGATTTATAACATGATAATTTCTACTATCATTATTCAAAATTATGGTAGGGTCACATGAAATGCACACCCGAGCCCCTTTAATCTACTTTGACATAGTTCAATTGATGAATAGCAACTCAATTTCTATACTGTGACAAAATCATGTTCAGCTATAACCAATTCGAGTAAACACGAGCAAATAACCGAGCGAGCAAATTCAAAACCACAAAGATCAATTACAGAATCAACGGGATCATATCACCAAACAAATAAATAATACCAAGCTTGCATAAAATGAATAGGGGATGAAAGAGTTGAACCTTAATATAGCTGGACAAATGATTGTTTCACTACTTTGAACTCGAGATATAACGAACCGTGGACGGAACTCGAATTAGCACCGGGAATCTAGACACCCAAACTCGAAGCAATTGGGCTAAGCCTTCTACTACAACTTATAGTGACATGAATGTGCCAGTTGACCCATCATTGACAAGGATTTCCCATTTGTTAAAATCTATCAAATACCTCCTCTAAAATTGAAGCTTCTACAAATTCAACAAACACATCTAATATCAAAACAACAAATTTCCCAAACACTTCCCTGCCTTTGTCAGTCACCTCCGGCGACTTCGTCATACAGCCCGATAACGGGGAAAAGGGATAAGGGAGATAGCTCATGTCCACATACGGCTGCTACTTCTTCAACTTAGTTCAAAATTTCAAACGTACTTCGCTTCCAATACAAAACGAAATTCTCCAAATATCATAGTAGTCAATCGCCCATTTGGCATTGAAACAGTAGGAAAATAACATTTTCAGTCCTTACCATTACATAATCTCAAACTTTGACAATTAAACTGCATGCAAAAATGTAATCCCTACAATAAAAACTTTATCAATATCTCCTAAGGCTACTCACAAGCTCAACAATATGGGAAAATAACCAAAACCCACAAATAAAATGTCTTCAAAATGAACAGCATAATAAGCTTTTAATATTATGTCTCTGTTTGGAAAGTATATACAAGCAAATGAACATTGAGATTCAAACAACCACAGAGATGTAGCAATTCAAACTTAAATGGAAACAATGGATGACACTTCGATCGGCATCAACGAACGGCGACATAGCAGTAAGAAACGAGAGAGAAAGGGCGAGATATGAGAGCAACCTGATCAGTAGCGTTCGCCGGATTCAATGGAAATCTGGCCAGATCTAGAAGCCAGTTGGCTTAGTAAAGTGATAAGAACAGGGCCAGTTGGCTTGGTGAGTGATTAAATCACTGAAACTTCGGCGAACAACAACGAAAGGGAGGTTGGGAATAGTGGTTGTTTTTATTTGGTGTAGAAGAAGGGTTACGACGGCTTGAGGTCTAATTTTTTGGGAGTTTTCAAGATGATGAGGACTGTTAATGCTTGTTTATGGTTGAAGAAGAATAAACTGAAGGTTGTGCTGAAGACGATGAGGTCCAGGGAGGGGGGGTCCATGTTTGCGGCGTTACAACGTTTTTTTCTAGGTCCTAGAGTCTATCTAGGTCTAATGTGTATTTTATGTATTCTATTTTTTGTGATTGTATGTATTTTTCAGTGATCCCCCTTATGAATTATGTCTTGTATTCTTTTATAGCTTAGGTCCAAATGGTGGATGATGTAGAGTGTGTATTAATAGGTTAGGTCTAAGTTATTATTTGGGTTTAAGGGTATTGGGCTCAAGGAATGGGCTAGAAATTTGGGCCTTTATGACTAGCTTTGCTTAAAATTAGCTTAATTATCTAAAAATCTATCCATATAGAAATATTACCAAAAATATTAATTAGCCCTACTTAAGTAAAAATAATTATTAAAATAAAACTGACCGTTAAAACAAAACTATTTTTGGTATTTTTCCAAAATTAAAAATGACTACAAAACATTAATGAAATTATTTTTTTGTAATTTTCATTTTCTTGTAATAAATAACGTAAAAAAGTCAAAATTACTTGAAATAGCGATATTAGGCTTAAATTAAATATTTACATGCTAAAATATAAAAAATCTTGGGGAGGATCAAAATCACATGTCTACATGTAGTCTTCCAGAGTATGACAATAGCTTTGAAGTCCAGGAATTGATCTTTGCAGTTATCCTCTCAACAAGTAGCTAGCATTGTTGATTTGTTAGCTTTTTTGAAGCGAATGACACCCCTAGATACTTGAAAGGTAGATTGCCTTCGTTGTAACCCAACTCCTGCAATATGAGTTCTTTCATCCTTTAATTTATACATGTAAGGTAGATTGAACTTTTATCTTGATTTGCTTAAAGGCCTGAAGCTTTTGAAAATTTCATAAATGCATCCTGAAGCAATCTGATTGATTTCAAATCAGCTTTGCAGAACATCAAGAGATCATCATAAAAACAGACATGGACCACTCCTAATCTTTTGCATCTCGGATGAAAATGAAACTCCTTATTCAAGGCAAGTTGACTGAACTCCTTTTGCAGATATTCCATGGCAATCACAAATAGGTAAGGGGATATAGGGTCCCCTTGTCTTATCCCCCTTTTACCTCTATCTTTGTGAGCCCTCCATTTAGATTTAAGGAATATGACATAGTGGTTAAACATTCCATTATCCATTCAATAAATCTGTGTAGAAAACCTAGGTCCATCAGTATCCTCCTCAGAAAGTACCAATCCAAGGTATCATATGCCTTTCTCAGATCAACTTTGAGAACACACCTTGCAGATATCCCTTTCCTGGTATAACCTTTGAACAATTCATGAGTGAATAGTATATTATCAGTAATGTTCCTTCCTTCAATAAATGTTGATTAAGAATCCCCCACCAGATGATTTATTACTATATTTAGTCTGCCAGTGATGACCTTTGTGATGATTTTATATATTGTTGTACAGCATGCTATTGGCCTAAAATCCTTAACCTATGTGGGGTTAGTGACTTTAGGTATAAGAGTAATAGTAGTGTTGTTGATAGCCTTTGATAACTTTCCTGAATGGAAGAAATCCAGAACATCAGCAATCACATCCTCTTTGATCACCGCCTATTGTTGAGTGAAAAACCCTATTGGAAATCCATTTACACCTGGTGCTTTATTAGTTGCCATACTCTTGATAGCCCCCCACTATTTCCTCCACTGTGACATTCTTAACCAGCTCCAGTTGTTGTTGCCTTGTTAGACAAGCTCCTTTCTTGATCACCTCAGTGTTTGGACAGGGATGAACTGGTGATGATTCCCCCATCAGCTTCTGAAAGAAATCTAGAAACTGATCCTCCACTTGTTTAGGATCTGTAACATTGATACCTGCGTCATTATAAATAGAAACAATTGTGTTAGTAGTTGTGCGCATCTCCATTTGGCATGAAAGTACTTTGTGTTTGCATCTCCATGATGTATCCATGTGGCTCTAGACTTCTGCCTCAACACTTGTTCCTCTACATTACTCCACTTCTCCACTTCAAACAGAACCTCTCTTTCCTGCTGTATAAGCTCATGCTTTAATGGTTTCAAGGATAATTGGTGTTGTACCAGGTCCAATTTTTGCTTTGCTTGAGCCAGTTTCTGCTAATAAGATGTCATATAGTTGTTCAATCCCTTTAATGCATCCTTGAGTCTTTTAAGTTTATGCCACGTCCTCGACTGCCCTATACCTCTATAAATCTGTACCCATACTTCTTTCACTATTATTGTAAATTCAGGATGGTGTAGGACTATATGATATAGTCTGAATGGTCTGGGATGTAGGTGTTGCTGCAGCAATCCAAACTTGCAATTCATTAGTATAGGAGAGTGATCAGATACACCAAGATTTAAAAATTCTACCTCAATAGAACCATTATTCATCAGCCAGCTAAAATTCTCAAATGCCCAATCTATTTTACTATACACCCTTGCATTTTCATCTCTTTTAATACACCATTGTATAGTACCATCCTCTGTTCTTCAAGGGGGTAAATTGAATTCTATCCAAGAATTCCTTAAAACCTTGTACCTCTGCCTGTGTTATAGGGGCTCCAATTCTATCATCTGCTTGCAGTACATTATTGAAGTCTTCACTAATCAGCCAATCATTGGTAATATTTGTACCTATAACAGTAAGCTTGTCCCATAGCTGCTTCTTTGGATCCAACTCATTGTATGCATAAACCACAGTGAGAAACCATTTCTTCTGACTATTTGGTTCTACCACTTCACAGTGGATAAATTGAGCATCTACCTTCAATTTTTGAATTTGAACATGAGTCTTCCACAATAGCCAAATTCCACCATTATAAGCATGGTCATAGTTATACTGAACTCTCCAGTCCTTTGCTATTTTCTGAGTTATTCTCCTAGCTTTATTATCTTTCACCCATGTCTCAATTATTCCCATTACCTCTACTTTGTACTTTTTCAGAAAGAGCACTACCTCCTTCTATTTAAAGGACCTATCCAGACCTCTAATGTTCCACGTACTTACTATCATGGAGGTATAGGATGGTTATGCCCACCTTTCCCAGCATCAGATGAGGTGCCACCTTGATTGAGGATCTCAAATTTGTTTGTGATACCAATATGACTAGTAGAGCAACCAGCTTGTACCTGTTCATCCATATCATCCACAACCACTCTTTTGTCAATTCTTCTCTCTTTCCTTATTACTTCTGATAGTTCTAGAAATTCACTATTATCCATATGATTTCCTGCCAATTGTGTACCTATTGCATTGTCCCCATCTACATCAGTTTTTGTAGCATCAATAGTTGGCTCATTTGGCATGGTATTCAAATCTTTTGCCACCCATTTGGTCTCCACCTTTTTCCTTATTCTACCCTTATCTTCCTTCTATTCTGCTTAGCAAAAGCTCCATTTGTCTTATGAGCCTTACTCTGTCTACATTCCTCAGTAGTATGCCCAACTTTTACACAATCCATGCAGTATTTGGGCTCTCAGTCATATTCAACGCTCTGATGAATAATTCCTACTGGAGTGTGTAGCTCAATATCACTCGGCAAGGGATGGGAACTGTCTGCTTCTACTAGGACTCTGGCAAAGGAGATACGATCCATCTCAATAGTATACAGATCAGTGTACATAGGCTTGCCCACTACACTAGCCAGTTTACTCAGAACCTCAGTAGACCAATATCCAACTGTTAAGTTTGGAAATCTTACCCATAGTGGAATCACATTCAAACACTCTAGGTCAAAAACAAAGTCAATCGACCAATTCATCAAAATGAACGACTTGTAATGAAAAGTATAGGGACCTAATTGTATGACTCTATCCCTATCGTCCATCGAATCAAATCTAAATATGTAATAGCCGTCAACATGACATAAGATTTTTGATTTATTAACAAAATCCCACACATTATCAACATAATTCTCCATAGATTTGAAATAAGGATTTTCACCCGCAACATAGCCAATGAGTGAATTGCTCCAATAGCTCTGATGTTCCTTAATATCTTCATCTACAATCGTCACTACAATTGTATCTCCATGCGGATCTGGAGGAATGTATGTGAGTATCTTACCTATTTGAGAGCTTCGATTTCTCTTATAAGCGTTTTCCTCCACTAATTTGGTTTCATGTTCCATTAGCACTGGTTTTCGAGTCATAGCTGAAGAATTCGCAGTGGATTATGCTAGATCTGAAAATTGAAGCCGGCGTGGAATCTCTTCCCCTGTTCTTCACACAGCTCGTTTCCCAGCCAAGTTTGGTGGATACTCATTAGCTTCACCCTTACCTGGGCCTTCTTGTATTGTTTGAAACTGAATTGGAAGAAAGCTTCCAAATGTTAATGGTTTTGCATGCGCCGGTATAGTAGTAACTGGTGTAACTGAACTCACCAGTGGCATTAGAGTGGTGGTGGTGGCCGGAATTGTCATACTACTCGTGCACATTAGCATATTCTACTTAACATGCGCCAAGATAAAACATCAGTCCCCCAATCCCACTGTTTTTCATTGTTAAAAGTGTTGGATATCTCATAGTTTCATTGTCTTATATCATTCTCTTAAACTAGTTTATTGGTGTTTTATGGTATATTTTGGATTGGTTTCATGAAGTAGTATTAATTGTGTGAAGTTTCATAATGTACAAGCTTTCTGGTTGCTTTGGTTTGAGGTTTAAGTGTGTAAAGAGTTTTGAGTTAAACTATGAAATTTCTGTTATTACTATGTAATTGGTACTGATATTGTGGGATCAGGTTGCGCACTGCAATAGGAGGAATAAGGATGATATATATTGAGGAGGAATAAGGGTGAAATGTTAATGTCCGGTGGGATTAGCTTGCACACCGCAACAAGAGGAATAATGGTGGAATGATATGGAGTAATAAGGGTAAATATTTATATTGATATTGATTATACAATGGGATCGGGATGCGCGCCACATAAATTTATGTGTTTATGTACCTTTCTTCTATAATGTGAGTTATTCTGTAGTTTTACATTTCTCTTCAGGGTTGGTTATAGCTAGACACTGATGAGTTCTGTATTCGTTCCTCGCAATTTACTGCTTTATTTTATTTCGTTCTCCTTTCTGCATTTATTATACACTATATACAGGTTATATTATAATTGCCCTGATGTAGACTCGTCACTACCTCGTCGAGGTTAGGCTTGGTACTTACCAGTAAATGGGGTCTGTTGTACTGATACTGCACTATGCACTTTTTGTATAGATTTTGGAGCTAGTAGTGGCTGATTGAGAGATTGGCTTCAGATTTCAGAGTTAGGAGACCCAAGGTAGTCCTATTGGCGTCCGTAGGCCTTGACGTCCCCTTCTACATCTCCTTATTTCTATTTTATCTATTTATAAAACAATTGCAAATTTCTTTCAAACCGACGTTTGTAGAAAATCATAGTAAATTTGTGGATTGTGACACCAGATTCTGGGTATTAATAGCAACAGTATTGGTAATAACATATAAACAAAGGGGTTGTTTACTTATTTCCGCAATTGTTTATACTTTTTTTGTTTGTTTACATTTAATCATTAAAACGAAATGGAAATTGGCTAATAATACTCTAACGTTGGCTTGCCTAGTAAGTGTGATATTCGACGCCATCACGGTCCCGACAGAGAGAATTCCGGGTCATGACAACATCATACGGAGGAAAATCAGGATAGTGACAAGTTTGTATTGGAGCTCTAGGTTAATAGGTGCTACGAGTCATAAGCGAGTTTAGTAGAGTCTTGTGGATCGGTAAGAAGAGTTTGTACTTATCTTTGAGAGGATACGGAACTCTTAGGACAATTTCACTTCTTTATTCCTATCGTGTGGATTTATTGATCTTGGAGTTTGAGCCTTTGTCATTCTATTCTATCTTAGATGGTGAGGACACGAGTTGTAGTTATTGATGACGCTACCCTAGAGACGGCGTTGCTAGGGGCCAGGGAAGTGTCAGAGGCCGAGGAGGAGCATATGCCGCAGCTAGAGCACCTATCAGAGCAGCAGTAGAGGAGCCGCAAGTAGCTCTGATTAGGGGACAGGTACCAGAGGAACCTGTTGCTACCCCATGACTTCAGGAGATGTTAGCACAGTTTTTGAGCATGGTTGGTACATTGTCTCAATCGGGGTTGATTCCGGTTGCACCAACCACTTCATAGACCGGGGGAGGAGCTTAGACTCCCACCGCCCGTACTCCAGAGCAGCGAGTCCGTGTTGATCAGGTTTGAGGTGTCATGCTGACATAACCCGTTGTTCCAGTTCAGCCTGTGGTTAGGGCAGCAACATCTGAGAAGGAACAACTTATAATTGTGAGGTTCAAGAAGTATCACCCTCCTACTTTCAGTGGTTTGGCTTGATAGGATGCACATGGTTTTCTAGAGGAGTGCCACCGTATTCTCCGCATTATGGGTATTGTGGAGACGAGTGAGGTTGCTTATACTACATTCCAGCTTAAGGAAGCGGCATATCAGTGGTGGCGAGCTTATGAGTTGGGTAGCCCGGCCGATGCATCTTCACTTTTATGGACTCAGTTTTCATAGATGTTCTTAAGAGAGTTCGTCCCACGGACCCTTCGGGATGTATGGCGCGCAGAGTTTGAGTTGTTGCGCCATGGCACTATGTCAGTGTCAGACTATGCCATTAGATTCAGTGATTTTTCCAAACATGCACCAACTTTGGTTTCTACAGTCAGGGAGCGAGTCCGCAGGTTCATTGAGGGGCTCAGTCATGGTATCTGATTCAGCATGGCTCTGGAGTTGGAGACGGATGTTTTGTTCCAGCAATAGATATAGCACGTAGATTAGAGATTATGTGGGATCAGGAGGGAGAGGTCAGGGAGGCTAAGAGACCTCATAGACCGGAGAGATCTATTGGTCAGCAAGTTTTATTTGCACATCAGGCTACGTACGGTGTTCTAGGTACCCATATGTCTTAAGGTACCCGTACCGGATAGCTTCCGCAACCACGTCAGCAGAGACGTTGCTTTGAGTATGGAGATACCAGCCACATGGTGAGAGATTGTCCTAGACTCTAGACAGATATGTCCCAGCAAGGTGGATAGGCTATGAGTTCTATTCTAGTTGTTGATATCCCTGCACCGCCAGCCTGGGGTGCAGGTCAGGCGAGTAGAGGGCGCCCAAAGGGGCAGGCTCAGCCTGTTGATGTGCTTTCTACGGTAGGGGTTGAGGCCACTGCACTAAATGATGTTGTACAGGTATGGTTTCGATTGTTATAGAGGAGCGTCATTCTTATTTTTATTTGGTTCTACTTATCGGGGTGAATCCTCCTATTTTACTTTAGATATGGGTGAGTTTCATGATTTTGTAATCAGCTTATATGGTTACCCTTTTTAGGAGATTCTATAGTTGTAGCTGTGTGTATCATTCTATTTTATTCATTATTACGAGCTGTGAGACTAGAAGTGACTTTTTGTTACCCATTACGGTAGGTTTTGATATGATTTCTGCATGGCTGGTTATGATTTGTGATTTAGATGCTCTATAGGTGTAGGGGACCAGCGGAATTGAATTAGTGGAAGGTTTTAGTTGGTATGATGTGTATGCTACTTGTGATTCAAAGCTGAGGATGGGATCCTCGCGTCTTCATGTGATTTGATATGTTTAAATCGGGCCGCGGGCCGCAGTGGAGTTATATTAGGATGAGATCCTTGTGATTTGTTCATATACTTTGATTCTCCCTTGTGGAATTAATTCCTAGTATTCTACTAATAGGAAGTTGTGCCTGTCAGGCTTGTTTGATAGTTCTTCCATGTGTTTCCTTGAATACTCAGTCATATTCGTGTTGTATTTATTGGGTTTTAGCTTGTGAGGTGTATGCCCAAGTGGTGTTAGGCGTGACTTGTTGATTCAGGTTAATAGTTATGAGTTCTTCATATTTCTTGCATTGTTGTCTTTGTTGTAAAGGTTTGGAATAGGGTTGTAGCGGATATGAGGTTAATTGCCGGTGTTGGATTTGATTATGGGCAACAATTGTGATAAGAGATATTGTTATGAGCGTATGTGTGATGCATTACATCGTGTGGTTGTACCTGGTAGGTGTAGGCGCGAGTTGTTGCAGCTGGTTATGGCTGATACAGTGTGTTGATGTGGGGATCGGGTCTTTCGAAAATAATTAAATGGCGAAATATTTGTTTCTAAAGCCTATTAGTGTTGGTGAAAGAAATAATCTTCAGTAGAGTTGGTGTTGTCGGGCCTATGTGGATTGGGGTGACGTGGGATCACCTGCGAGTATATGTATGGTGAGTACATTCAGTGATTTGATGACTTTGGATTGGTTCTTGGAACGTTCGAGGATGAACGTTTGTCTAAGAAAGGGGAGAATGTAACAACCCGACTAGTCATTTTGAGAATTAGCGTCCCATCTTAAGGTCTCGAGCAGCTTCGTATTGTGTATTATGGCATGCGTATGCGATCGAATTTGATTTTCAGGTGCTTCGAGAATGGTTTAGAAGGATAATTCTTGTTTTAGAAGCTTAAGTGGTAAAAGTTTATCAGAGTTTGACTTTTGTGCAGACGACACCGAAACGGCATTTTGATGATTTCAATAGATTAGTATGGTGAGTTTGAACTTAGTCATGCATCCGGATTTGGATTTGGAGGTCCGTAGGATAATTTGAAGCATTTCGACGAAAATTAGAAAGTTGAAGTTTTGGAAGGTTAAAAGGTTTCACTGGGAGTTGACTTTGTTGATATTGGGCTCGAATTACGATTTTGAGAGGTTGATTAGCTCTATTATGTCATTTGAGACTTGCGTGCAAAATTTTACATCATTCCGGGTTGATTTGATGTGTTTCGGCACTAGTTTTAGAAGTTGGGAGATTCGGAAATTCATAAGTTCGATTCAAGGCGTGATTGATAGTTTTGACGTTGTTTGATGTGATTTGGGGCCTCGAGCAGGTCCGCGTTATATATGGAACTAGTTGGTATGTTTGGATGGGGTCCTGAGGCCCCGGGTGTATTTTGTATGGGCTACGGGCCATTTTCTTATGTTCTGGAATGCTGAATTGCTGGTGTCTGCTACATCGCGTTCGCATTCTCTATTCCACGTTCGTGTAGTGCCTTTTGTGGGGCAATGATATTTCTTCTACACGTTCGCACCTTCCTGCTTGCGTTCGCATAGCTCATAATTTGCAACTGTTATTTT